AGCTTAATTTTGTTCATAAAGCTGTGTGATTAACTTTTTGGTATCTAAGTTATGTTGAAAAGCTACTGTAGATTCAGCTGATGGACTATAGGAATGCATAAGTTGAATTTTATCAGGGAATTTAATGTAAGTCAACCTTAATCGAAGTAGCAAATACAGGGAGAAATGAAGTTTAGCTACTGCGTCTTGACTCTTGATCAGCATATGTGTATCTACTCATTTGAGTTCAAGTGTAATTTAATTGAACTATAACTTTTATTTCTTAAAATTTGTGAAAATGGGTTTCCTGGTGATGCTTTGTATGGTTTTCAATTTGAACTTTGTCTCTCATTTTGAAAGCTTGTTTTGGATCTCAGAAGAAGCTGTTCTCAGGACAAGGAGACGAAAATCAGAGACATTTAGGGCACAGTATATAAACACAAAGGAAATTAGGTATGCATCCTTTGACATTTAGGGATATCTACTGTCAAAGCATTATATGATTGTGTTTGTAAAATGATAACTTAATATGCTTCTGCATGCTTGTTTTACTAGAGTATGCGCTGGCACATGGAATGTTGGAGGAAAAGTTCCTCCTGATGATCTAGATCTTGATGGTTGGTTAGATATTGATGTGCCTGCTGATATTTATGTGCTCGGGTACTTACCAACTTTCTTGAGCGTTTTTCTTTTCCTTGAAGTTTACATGTGAACATTTCATTTTGAATTCCTTCTTAATTTTCCCTTGTTGATTTAGTTGATAATGATCAGTATTCAGTATCTATTATATATGTAGAATCTATACTCTAGATACACTAGGTTCTCAACATCACATATAGTTGGTACATATAGTTTGTTTGTTAATTCAATGCATATATTGCTCTTTGTAAAATGACTTTTAATTTATTTTAACTGCATACAATTTATATCTACAGATTTCAGGAGATCATTCCATTAAATGCTGGTAATATCTTTGGGGCTGAAGATAACCGCCCTATTCCAAAATGGGAGAACATCATCCGAGAAACTCTCAATAAAATCCCTCCTGTAGATAAGTTCAAGTCTTATAGTGAACCTTCCTCTCCATCGAGGTTTAAACCATCTGAAGGTTTCCCTGATATTGAAGAGGAAATTGCACTAGAGTTTGATAGTGATGGTGAGGAGGAAATTGTTCCATTAAATGAAGAATGTAATGAATTTGTTGAAGCCAACAATATAACCATGTCGGGCAACGATACTGTTGTCAATGCTGATGTGTCTGCATCCAGTGGTGGTCATGAGTTGACCATGCCAATCAAAGTGGGGGTTGAGAGGCAATTTTCTTCACCAAAGAGGTTGGATAGGTTGAATTGCTTAAGAACTGAAGAAAGTGAAGAAAATGTAGAGGAAATGAATATTCATTATGACAAGAAATTAACCAAAATGCTTAGTGGAACAGAGAAGATTGGCCTGAGTTGGCCAGAGACACCACTAGATCTTCTACCTCAGTGTGTTTTAGAAAGACCTAATTCCTTTAAATCTAGGAAATCATTTAAGGCTTCATTGTCTATTGGAGCATATGGTTCTTTCAAATCGACCACTTATGGCCAAAATAGAACGCAATCTGATGTGGCTTCACTTGCAAAAATGGATCTTGAATCTTTAATAAACCGTAAAAGAAGGCCATCATATGTGAGGATAATAAGTAAGCAAATGGTTGGCATTTTCTTAACTATATGGGTACGCAGGAGTTTGCGGAAGCATATACAGAATTTGAATGTTTCTACAGTTGGTGTTGGTGTAATGGGCTATATAGGTAACAAGGTTTGTTCTTTCCATAACTCTCAGCTTTTTACTATGCATACTGTGTATGGTAATGTGGTACCATGCTCATCTTTTAGTGCTGAATCAGAAGTTTAGAACAACAGCATCATTTATAGTTTGCACTGATGTTTTCTCACAAAACAACATTTTGTTTTATCACTGCATTGGTTTCATGTAAAGAATAGGGTGCAACGAGATGCTGAATGAGCTAACATTTTTAAGGTGGCATAGTCAATACTTATTTTACTTGTGAGTCAAACTTAATGAAGAAAGCTTTTTCTTTAATTTTAGTAAGTTAGAGCCACATTTTCTCTAGTATGTTTGTTGTGCTTTCCCTTTTTAAATTTAATTAAGCAGTTTGTTTGTATAAGACTAAAAAAAAAAACTATGTTTTGACCTAATATAATTTAGATTTCACACAGATAAAAGATGGTGCAGAACAACAGAAGTGCTAGGGGTTGAATAAGAAATATGATAATGAAATTTGGGGACACCATTCATTATCAATGTGGAAAATAATGAGCTGCTGTATGTTGTGATAAATGAACCATAAGTCTCATTTAAATCCTTTACAGAGTATATAAAGTTGACCTGGAAAGATAGCTTCTAAATTATACTACTTTTTGTTTTTAGAACTTCATTGACCCACTTTCCTAGGAATCTTCTAGGAACATAGCCGTGAACTCTGACATCTCTGAGTTTCTAGTGAACTATTTCTAACAGATATACACTTCCCAACAGGGGGTCAATGAGTTAATACAACTTTAGTACTTTACTGATTCACTCTGATACTCTGGTCTACTACAATGGATCAAACAATCAAATTCAATAAGTTTCTGTTTGTATTTGGAATTAAATTCAACCCTGGTTAAAAGTTTGCACTTCTGTTCTCATGCTTTAATTGCATGAATAAATACAACTTGGGTGCATTCTCTTTTGAGTCACATTGCTAGGTTCTCTAATAAATACAGTATTTGCTAAAATGTTCTTGATAGTGTTAAAAATTCATCATTTGCTTGCTTAGGTTAATAAATTGCTGTATGCAATTCTTTAAAAATGCCAATTCTTCTTTCTTCCAGGGATCAATATCGGTTAGTATGTCTATATACCAGACTTTCTTCTGTTTCATTTGTACTCACCTAACATCAGGTGACAAAGATGCGGATGCAGTCAAAAGAAATGCCGATGTGCTTGAAATTCATCGGAGGACGCATTTTAATACATATTCTAGTACTGGCCTTCCTAAAAGTATAAATGACCATGAGTAAGTATGCTACATCTTTATTCATTCATTTCTCTCTATCAGTAAAATTTTGGTGCTGTTCCATATTTTGTGCTGCTATGAATCAACAATTATTTTATTTTATTTTCTGGAACATTTAGTGAGCGTGAATGCATTTGGGCTTCTGTTGCACAAATCCACAGGTGTACAGGTCAAACAAGTAATAATAAAGAGATAATGAAGTATCTCTCCCACGAGGATTATCTATATCACTAAATAAATACTAAAATTAGAATGCTTTTAAACTTTATTTAAACAAATGAAGACATGAGTTTATAAGAAAATAAATTTAGAACAAATAAAGAAAATAAAAAGAATAAGGAGATTAGAGATAGAGTAACTAGGAAAGAAGATTCTCTACCAAAAAAAAAAAAAGGAAAGAAGATTGATGGATGGATCTAGGGTTTCTAACTTTAACTATGCTATATTATTTACTAGTTTAATTTGTTCCTTAATCTTGCAATTATCAATTGCGTCAATCAAATACAAATTATATTCCCAAGTTGTTTTCACTGTGCAAGGAAGTTATCTATTAATATGATTGCTATACTCCTATGCTAATTAAAGATCAATAGATTCCATTAAAATTAGAAATTCAAGTGTTAGACAGCCTTTGTTTCCTAGCAAATTGTGGGTGGTGAGCTATGGTAAAAAAAATACTGAGTTAATGTCATCTTGAGTTTACTGCAGTCTGTAGCAATCCTTTAACTTCAAGGCTCTTTTCTTTGATTTTAACCTCTGAACTAGGCTTTATATGTCTTCATAAAAGTCATAGGCCTTTAAGCTAGTTTTCCAACACCACTTGAATCACCTGACCGTATGCTAAGATATGCTTGAAACCTATTAGAGATCATTTCTTGCGGGAATAACATATTTTGCTTCTTTTTCTCAACTTCTCCAAACAATTTCCTATAATTGCCAAACCAAACAAAATTCAGTCTCAAGTCATAATAGCGTACAAAAGCAAAGATTTAAAGACAATAGTTTAGGTCTAAAATAAGCATCAAGGGACTTTCAGTTACATGTGACTTGTAGCATGGAATAATATAGTTGTTCAAGGGACAGAAAGAAACTGACTACCTACCTTTTTTTTGGGATGACGAGGGAAACCCACAATCCTTTCAGGTGTAGGTAAACCCCGCCTTGTGACCCTAGCCGGCAAAGGACCACAAGGAAGTAAACCAGCCTAGGTTACCCATAGTTGACCGGCTCAAACCAAGGGGGCAAGGATTCGAACTCGTGACCTTGTGGTTACAAGTATGAATGTCTTGCCATCTTGGCTGGGGTTACTACCTACCTTTTGATTCCTGAATTGTAATCCTTGATTTTGTTTTTTAGTGGAAATTTAATATATTTTTGTGCTTTGCCTCTTTTAGTTGCTTAGTAAACCATATGCCTTTTCCACATAAAAAGTTAAAAGAACAAGAGAGACTTGTAAAGCTATATCCAACTCTAACTTCCAGCTTTCTTGTAATTGGATGAAGAAGAGAGACTTGTAAAGCTATATCCAACCCTTTATGGGGGTTATTTGAGTTATTAATTCCAATGGATGCAAAATCAAAATTAACTCAACTGTCTTTTCTTTTCCCTCCATTTTCTTAAAATTAACAAAAAGCTTATATTGTTGCAGGAGAATAATCTGGCTTGGTGATTTAAATTATCGTATCAATTTATCATATGAAAAAACACGGGAGCTAATATCCAAAAAAGATTGGCCAAAGTTAATTGAAAACGATCAGGTAAATATGGATATATTCCTCATTACACTTTGATTCAACTTCTAGCTAGATAATCAATGTTCTAGGAGAGGCAACCAAAGAATTCATATGGATGTATTTGTTTTATGACTTGATGAAGTTTAATATTTGTTGTGCCTTAGGATTAGAGGAGATAGAACTCTCATATTTCCACTTCTAGCATGTTACAACTTTTTTTTTTCCCATAATCATTAACTTTTAATCAAGAAATGGTTAAAATGGTAAAGAGAATCACTATATGTAAAGCTCCAATAAGGCTATTTGTAAGCACTAAATATAAAAATGCAAAGAAGGAAGTGAAATTGATTTTGAAATAAACATGAGTTTGTTTACTAATTAACTGCTTTAAAAGAGTTAATTAGAATTCAGAAGTACAATTAGTAGCAATTTATTCAAGTATTTGATAATTATTTCCTTATCTAATTTAACTTGCAAGTTTAATACTTAAGATTATAGATCATGATGATTTATCAGACATTTATGGACTAATCCTATAGTAGAGTGAAAATGGTTTTGGGTGGCTTAGTCTAGAAAAACTTGACCTACCTCAGAATGCAATTCTGGATGCTTGACATGGAAATGAAGGACCTGAGTCAATTTAATTGGGTATAGCAACATTTTTCTGGAGTAATTATATATATATAAAATTCCTTTTTGCCTGTTATTCCTGAATATTTTGTTTGACTTTCCTGCCCTCCCTTTGCTGCTCTGGCCTTCAAAATTGTATTTATGTTTTTGGAGGACTAAAATGTTACTGGAAACAGTAAAGCTTGGATTCTACCAATAGAAATTCTGTCAAGGATTTAAGAGAAACTGTAATGATTGCATGATACCTCGTAATAGTTCGTACCATATTGATGAATGCATTATATACTTTTATAGCTCAGCAGAGAGTTCAAGAAAGGGCATGTCTTTGACGGATGGTCTGAAGGTATTCTAAAATTTCCACCAACGTATAAGTATGAGATAAACTCAGATAAATACCATGGAGAGGATCCAAGAGCTGGGAGACGAACTCCAGCATGGTAAGTATCTATTACTTATAAAAAAACGGAAATGAAAATGCATCAGATCTTTCATATTTGCACTTCAATCATATCCCCTCATTGCTTTATGTGTAACTTGTTAAAATGTTTCCATATGACATTATGTTTTTCTCTTTCTCAGGTGTGACCGAATCCTTTCATACGGGAAGGGAATGCGCCTACTAAGCTATAGGAGATCTGAGCTTCAACTTTCTGATCACAGGCCAGTGACAGCAACTTATATGGTAGAGGTCGAGATATTCTCAGCTAGGAAGCTGCAGCGGGCTCTCACCTACACTGATGCAGAGATTGAAAATGAGGAAGTTGTTACAGATATTGGAACTGACTGCAGAATGAGCCGATTGATGACAGAAGAGGTATTGTTGCTCCATCCTGCCCCATCCGCCTTTTGATCTTGTAATGGTTCTGATTCAATACTTGAATGCAATCTAATTTGTTGTATGCTTTCATATTTCATTGTTGATGAAGGATGCTTTATTATGGGGGCGCTAGAGAGGATACCTTTGGGAAGAAGAGAAGATGTTAGAGGTTAGAGGTTGAGGCATCCATGACTCTTTATTCTTGTGATTCTTTTATTTGTGAATGGCTCGTGTTGTATAGTCTTAAGTCTTTTTTTTGTTTGTTTGTTTTGTTGTTGTTGTTGTTGCTGTTGTTGTTGTTGTTGTATATTATTGTTTTTACAATGAAGATCATACAGTGATTTTGCATTTCATGTGATGAAATTCAAGAAATGATTATAGGCCTCGTTAAATTCTTATTTTGAGATCAGATTAAAAACAAGTCAATCTTGTGTGAGACTGTGATACATTTTTTTTAGTTAAATTATAGTATTTTTCTATGAGTGCATAAAAAACTCACTTTTAACTACTTTCTCAATCTATATAGTTATGAACAGATACTGCATTATACAGAGTTAGTAGTACTTAAAATTTAAAAAAAAAAAAAAAAAAACTCACTTTTAATTTATTGATGAAATTGTGGCATGGTGTTGCTCTTAAAGCTAGTGCAATATGGAAAGTTGGGCCAAACTTTGAAGAGTAGGCTTTTAGATTCTCAAGCCTTGAATCATAATTTATCATCCGGCCAGCAACTAAGCATTGATGACCCCATTAGCAACTAATATTACATTTTCTACTTGCATTCTTTTATTTGTAAATGAGTATGTAGATGGAGTTATGTAGTTATTATGTTGATATGTATATATTATCATTAGTGATTATAATTTGAATACCAATGACTTCAAGTGATTATTGGAACAATAAATCATCATCAACATTATAATAAGTAAAAAAGAATTGAAGATGCATATATATTGTTTGTGGAAACGGGAAACAGGATTATCAAAAAGAACATTGAATTCTATGGATTGCAAAGGTACAACATATTTTCACATTAAGAATGAGGCCACAAGACAGCAGCACAGGCCGGAGATCATATTGATGATGCTGTAAGTTCCCATTCATGCAACTTAATGAATAGTTAACTTCTGCTGCGCTTTCTCAATCAGGTATGGTGTTGCTAAAACCTTTGACTTAGGTAGCTTGCATTGCGTGCTTCTATGTAATCTAAGTCCATGTTGTTCACCGATGCCTAAGGTATTACATGCATAATTCTAACAGCTATTAGGTAAATGTGGTATGTAGTTAAGTATATTTGTGTATATATACTCAAATTAAAGGAAACTGGCTCAGTTTTTACCTTTTAGCGATGAGAATGAAAATGTTTTGAGATCTCAAACAATGATTTCTTGATGCCATTGTTGTTGACAATGCTTCTCTGATCCAATTGAACAAGACCTACTGTAGCAAGTTGATTTTATATATATTATTAGCAATATTGAAGAAGCTAAGTTTGCAAATTTTAATTTAGGATATATATGCATGCATGCATGCATGGCTGAAATAATGTTTAGTCTTAATTAATTTATAGTGAGTGCTAATTAATTACCTCTAAAACAGAGCAAAAGCTTCTCTACTTCATCACTGGCATGAAGGGTTGATTGCCTTGCCTTGCCTGCAAAGATTAGTCATGACACAAGCAAAGTAATTATATATATTGTGAATCACACAATAAGTTATTAATACACATTATGCATTATATGCACATATTCTAACTCACTAGCTATATATATATATATATATATATATATATATATATATATATATATATGATACAGTACATACATAGTTAAATTGTACGTTCAGTCGATCAATTTAATTTGTATATTCAAAAGCAAATTAAATTACTTACTTGTTAAAGAGTGGGAGATAACCATGCAGAGATCTCAAATGTAAGTTCTTGATGTCATAGTTGTTGGCGATGGAACTGTTGCTTCTTGATCCAATTGAACAAGATACATACAAATATATGATATCATCAAGTGTTAACAACAAGTCTCAAAGTCCCATTAAAGAAGATCAGAAAAGCTTTTCTATTGTAACATACTACCAAATGCATATATAATGTATATATTCATACCACCTTTTTGTGTCACTGTGTTGTGTGTGTCAAGATTATTAAACTCCTTCAGTTTGGCTGGTGTGGACCTGTTAGTTGCAAGTTGTAGTATCATGTATTAATTAGCTAGTAATACTGAAGAAATTTGAAGCTATCTACCACAATATATAATAAATATAATTAAAGCTGCTCGCTAGCTAGCTCTACATCAAAATTAATTTATAGTACTAAAATCTTCACATACATACCCTGACATTTCCTACTACCCTCTAGGGAGTAGGAAATTCAAGACCAAACAATTGGTTTATTGTGATCTGTGAAAGTGAATTTGAGGAATAATAATATTGCCTTTCTTTGCAGAATCAAGAAGGCAAGCACCCCCAACACCACCGGACATACAACGAAAAAGAAACATCTATCACAATTAAATTTAAGTCTCCCCGAAGACACCCTTCTCCAAAACCGGAGGAGCAAAATTTGTGCGCGAAAGCAACAAGAATCATAAGCTAACTTCTCCACTTATTCATCACCGAGTTGATTGCCTGCACAAATTAGATTATTGATGAAATTTGAAGCAAACACAATTTGTTGTGAAAAATATTATGTATATATACACAACAAGCTTACTTGTTAGAATGTGATAAATAATGTGTATGCCACTGATCAAAATTTGTTGATGCCATAATTGTTGACTTCAAAAAGAATGCTTCTCCCATCGAACAATACATGTATCATGATATCAAATTCTCATTAAAGAAAAACGTCTTTTTGGTTATAACTAGTAAAGGTAAAACACACACACACACACTCATAGTGTTACTAACCTGGATCTGATCTGATCTATTCCAAGCTAAGAATGAATCCAAGGCATGCATGCCTGAGAAGCGTTGGTGTGGTTTTTGCAGATCGAATTGGAACATTCATAATCCCAGAAAAAGGCTTCTGATAGTAGGAAAGAAGACTAATTTGAACACAATAACACAGCTTGATCAGGGAGTAAGATATTGAAGATATATAGATAAGAATAAGATGGAAAACCTTATAAGAAACTAACTTACAATCATATATAGTAGAGAGAGATTCTTGAATTGGGTGAAGCAGAACAGATCAGATCACATCAACTTCTAGTGCTAGCACCTCCAAAACTATACACATCACATTTTTCGGTGATCTCCATAGTATAAGCGAACTCTACCAAAATACAAAGGAAATTGGAAGAAAATAAGAAGAAAGAAGAGAGCATATATGTAAACTGGATTACCTATATATGTTAAGCTTGGGAGAAAAAATGGTGCAGACACGTGACCTTCATTCTAATGCACCAAGAAAAGTTTGTATATATATATAATCAAGGAAATGTACTACTAGCTTACTTGTTAGATTGAGAGTACTAGTTATCTCGAGATCTCAAACAGAATTTCTTGATTGAGGTCATAGTGTTGAGAATCCGTACTGATACTTCTCCAATTCAACAAGACATACTATATCAATGGTGAAAAGACAATGATTTGGTGATGCATGCATGCATACATAATTCTGTGCATCATATCCATCAGCAAGCTAAGCTAGCTTCTGTACTTCATCACTATTGACTGCCATTGTTTGATTGCCTAAACAGATTAGGATAATGCACACAATTATTAAAGTTTGAAACCCTAGCTAGTTTGGTGTGATAATAGTGTCTGTTACAAATTACCTGGATCTGATCTATGTTAGTTGTATTCAATTCCAAGCAAAGAATCCAAGGCCTGGCATGAATAAAACTTTTTGACATGATGAAAAGTTCTGAAAGAAAATATAGCTAGCATGCATGCATTAACTCATGAACAAAATAAAGCTTTGCATTTTACTAAAATATAATCTTCACATACATACCCGGCCTGGCATGAATAAGACTTCAACCTACTCTACCCTCTAGGGAGTAGGAAATTCAAGACCGAACAATTGGCTTATTGTGATCTGTGAAAGTGAATTTGAGGAGGAATATTGTCTTTCTTTGCTTAGCAACACAGAAACCTGTCGCATGCTTGGACGACATTGTGGATTCATATTTAAACATGCAATTGCTATCTTGGCAACCAAAATCAACTCTTCCGCTGCTTCCTGCTTTGTTGGAGTAGAGAGTCGAGAATCCAACACATCTTTTAAAAGTAGTATTCCATGAGCGGTTGAGGTTGGGGATGAAAAAATGGACGTAATGAGGTCACCTGGATGTTTACCCATAATCACTTCTAGTGCTAGTACTCCGAAGCTATACACATCACACTTTTCCGTGACCTCCATAGTATAAGCAAACTCTACCAACAAAAGAAATTGAAATAAAATAAGAAGAAAGAAGCTAAGAGAGCATATAATTATATTAAACTGGATTAACTATGTTAAGCTTGGGTGAAAAAATAATATATGGTATACCTGGAGCTGCATAGCCAAATGTTCCTGCAAATGAAGTCCAATTTGATGAATGAAGACTCAATATTCTTGCTGTTCCGAAATCAGACACGTGAGCTTCATATTCACAATCAAACAAAACATTCTTTGATGATATATCCCGATGTACGATTGGTGGTAAACAATCATGGTGAATATACGATAAAGCATTAGCCACAGCTTTAACCACATTTACCCTCTTCGTCCACCCTAATTCCATGGCCTTTTCACTATCATTTAATATGTGTGCTAGGCTTCCCCCTTCCAAGTACTCATAAATTAAGAATGTATTTCTCTCACTAGCACAAAAACCATACAGTTTCACAATATTTCGATGTCTAACCTCTGTTAAAGTGCGAACCTCATTTGAAAAACTTTCAAGTTCACATCGTTCGTCTTCTTGCCCAATCGCATGAAACCTCTTTATAGCAACAATTTGGCCACTTGGTAGCTCAGCCCTATAAACACTTGCATGCCCTCCTTCACCAATGCAATATATTGAATCAAAGTTCCCAGTTGCCTCGATGATGCTTTCATATGCCATATTTCCGTCAAAATTCAATATTGTCAACACATGTTTAGTAATTCCCCTTGGCTTTTCTCTAATATTGCTCCTTGACCGAAGAATTAATAGGAAAAGAATGCTAATAATCATAGACAAACTTCCAAATGTTAGTAGTATGATTAAGAGCAAATTTCTTCTCTGATGATGATCTCTTTGATTGTTTGAGGAGCAAGGCTCGAAGCCAGAATGGTTCCCGCAAAGACCTTTATTATTTCTCAAGGCATCATACGGAGCTTCCTGAAATACTTTTGTGTTTGGGATGGGACCTTCCAACCGATTGTATGATACATCAACACATATCAAACCCAAAGATTGACCAAGACTAGAAGGGATATGTCCTGACAAATTGTTGTGTGATAAGTTCAATATTTGTAAACTTGTTAGTTCGTCAAATTGCATTGGTATGTGACCAGAGAGCATGTTGTGACTTAGATCAAGGCTTTCAAGCGATTTCATGTTTCCCATACCATAAGGAATCTCCCCAACAAACATATTTTTACTCAAATTCAAGTCTATTAACACTTGACCTCTTTCAAAGTACTCCTCCGGAAGCAATCCAGCAAAATTATTTGCGGCTATGCTGAAGTTCAAAAGTTGAGGTAATTTCCCAATTTCTAGTGATATGTTGCCTGAAAATCTGTTGTTATCCAACTTAAGGATAGTTAACAATGTCAGGTTTTCCAAAGCCTTAGGAATCATTCCAACTAGTTTATTTGATGAGAGATCAATAATACCAATCTGAGAGGCATTGCTAAGATTTGGTGGGAGTTTTCCAGAAATTCTGTTCATTGAAATCTTCAAAGTACCAAGTTTTGGGCAATTTCCCCAACTAGAAGATAGATGGCCATAGAAAGAATTGTTATTCAAATTAATGTAGTTTAGGTCCGGATAAACTCCGAAATCTTCAAAGATGTCTCCTGAGAATTGATTGTTTTCAAGATGTACTCTGAGAAGAGAGGTGCAATTTTTCAGTGTTTTGAGAATCTTTCCTATGAAGTTATTGTTTTTGACAGCCAAATATTCTAGTGCATGACCAAAGCACAAATTTTCAGGCAATTGACCAAAGAGGTGATTATCTGATAAATCAAAGTAAACTAAGAGAGTCAGGTTATTTAACTCTGAAGGAATGCTGCCATTCAGTTCATTATTCCTGAGAAACAATTTTGTTAATTTCCATAACTTCCCAATTGAAGTAGGGATTTGACCTTTGAGATTATTTGAGTCCAATTCCAAATCAACAAGAGAAGTTAACAATCCAATTTCTTGAGGAATTTGACCTGAAAGTTGATTCTCAAATAGATGTAGAGTTGATAAACTTCGTAAGTTCCCAATTGAAGTAGGGATTTGACCTTCAAGATTATTTGAGCTCAAATCCAACTCAACAAGAGAAGTTAACAACCCAATTTCTTGAGGAATGTAACCTGAAAGTTGGTTCCTCCATAGATAAAGAGTTGTTAGATTTTGCAAGTTCCCAATTGAAGTTGGGATTTGACCAGTGAGATTATTTTTTTCCAATTGTAAATCAACAAGAGATGTTAACAACCCAATTTCTTGAGGGATGTGGCCTGAAAGTTTGTTCCCCCATAGATAAAGGCTTGTTAAATTTTGCAAGTTTCCAATTGAAGTAGGGATTTGACCTGTGAAATTATTTGAACCCAATCCCAAATTAACAAGAGAGGTTAATCGTCCAATTTCTTGGGGAATGTTGCCTGAAAGTTGGTTCCGAGTGAGATATAGGGTTGTTAAAACTTGCAAGTTCCCAATTGAAGTTGGGATTTGGCCAGTGAGATTATTTGTGTATAATTGCAAAACAGTAAGAGATGTTAACAACCCAATTTCTTGAGGAATATAGCCTGAAAGTTGGTTCTCAAAGAGATAAAGGGTCGTTAAATTTCTCAAGTTCCCCATTAAAGTAGAGATTTGACCTATGAGATTATTTGAGGATAATCCCAAATTAACAAGAGACTTTAACATCCAAATTTCTTGAGGAATGTGGCCTGAAAGTTTGTTCCCCCATAGATAAAGGGTTGTTAACTTTTGCAAGTTTCCAATTGAAGTAGGGATTTGACCTGTGAAATTATTTGAACCCAATCCCAAATTAACAAGAGAGGTTAATCGTCCAATTTCTTGGGGAATGTTGCCTGAAAGTTGGTTCCGAGTGAGATATAGGGTTGTTAAAACTTGCAAGTTCCCAATTGAAGTTGGGATTTGGCCAGTGAGATTATTTGTGTATAATTGCAAAACAGTAAGAGATGTTAACAACCCAATTTCTTGAGGAATATAGCCTGAAAGTTGGTTCTCAAAGAGATAAAGGGTCGTTATATTTCTCAAGTTCCCCATTAAAGTAGAGATTTGACCTATGAGATTATTTGAGGATAATCCCAAATTAACAAGAGACTTTAACATCCAAATTTCTTGAGGAATGTGGCCTGAAAGTTTGTTCCCCCATAGATAAAGGGTTGTTAACTTTTGCAAGTTTCCAATTGAAGTAGGGATTTGACCTGTGAAATTATTTGAACCCAATCCCAAATTAACAAGAGAGGTTAACCATCCAATTTCTTGGGGAATGTCGCCTGAAAGTTGGTTCCTAGTGAGATCTAGGGTTGTTAAAACTTGCAAGTTCCCAATTGAAGTTGGGATTTGGCCAGTGAGATTATTGGTGTATAATTGCAAATCAACAAGAGATATTAACAACCCAATTTCTTGAGGAATATGGCCTGAAAGTTGGTTCTCAAAGAGATCAAGAATTGCTAAGTTTCTCAAATTTCCAATTGATGTAGGGATTTGACCAGTGAGATTATTTGAGGATAATTCCAAATAAACAAGAGACTTTAACATCCAAATTTCTTGAGGAATGTGGCCTGAAAGTTTGTTCCCCCATAGATAAAGGGTTGTTAAATTTTGCAAGTTTCCAATTGAAGTAGGGATTTGACCTGTGAGATGATTTGAACCCAATCTCAAATAAACAAGAGAGGTTAACTGTCCAACTTCATGGGGAATGTTGCCTGAAAGTTGGTTCCTAGTGAGATCTATGGTTGTTAAAACTTGCAAGTTTCCAATTGAAGTTGGGATTTGGCCAGTGAGATTATTTGTGTATAATTGCAAATCAACAAGAGAAGTTGTCAATCCAATTTCCTGATGAATGTGACCAGAAAACCAATTTTGATAGAGATACAAAGTTGTTAAATTTTTTAAGACATGCATTTCTTTAATAAAAGAAATGCTACCATGAAAAGAGTTGTTGGAAAGATCAATGACTTGTAAATGCGGTAAGGATGATAAACTCATATCTTGAAGTGTACCTTTTAACCCATAACTTGAAAGGTTTAGGCTTGTAATGCTTTGGCCACCATCGCAAGCAATACCAGTCCAATTGCAAGGATCGCTACCAACAACCCATGATGTGAGTAGGGATTGGCTTCTAAGGTCAAGGCTTGACTTCCATGTTAAAAGAGCTCCTACTTCATTTGGGACTTGCAAGTGGTTTGGAGAAGAAAAAGGAAGGGCGGTTGTGGTAGAAATGAGGGGAAGGAGGCGTATAATAGTAAGGAATTGGAGTAGGAATTGGAATAGTTTGTATGCAGGAGGAGACATTGTGATGTTGATAATAAAGGGATATGAGGGAGGTGGTATATATTTACGTATATAGAAAGAGGGTAGGATATATATAGGTGCAATGGTTGTGAGTAAAATAATTGGGATTATATTTTTATATACTTCTATGTATGATGTAGTCATCAATAATCTTATATTTAGCGTTTGGTGTCCAATATCGCCAGTGGCAGTGGCTGCCCACACAAGTCTTCTTGAGCAAATATTTCATTGATTACTCAAGTTTTCTAATCTGCCCATCCATTTGTATATAAATTAAATTAAGTGAAAAAAGTTTTTTTTTTTTTTTCTTTTTTTTGTTCTTAAGTTATAAGATGTGGTCATGCTCACTTTTAATTCCTAAGCTATCATTAGCATTGGAATTTCCGTTCCTTTACTAACAAAAAGAGTTAGGGACGAAATTTATAATTTTAGTATAGTTTAGGGACAAAAAGTGCAATGCTAATGACAACTTATGGACGAAAAGTGAGCATGACCAACACTTCGGGACGAATTCTACAATTACCATATAACTTAGAGATCGAAAAGTGCAATTTTTCATTAACTTAAATTAGAATAGAACAAACCGTACTATGTTTGGCCCACGGAATAGATTTTGAAATAATAAAAATGTTCTTCTATAAGGAATATAATAGAATATAAGAATTTTATTCTATTGTTTGGTTCATTGGCAAAATAGACTTCAAATTGTATTACAGTATTTAATTAGTTTAATGTATACAAATGAAATATGCATTCAAAAGACATACGAGTTAATACCATATAGGATCCTTCAAATATAGTGATTTTGTTACGTTTAGTCTTAAACTTTCAAATTGATTATCTGTGGTCTTTCAACTTTCAAATTGTTGTCATTCGTGGTCCAATTGAAGTCGCATTTGGATCTTTTTCTCGAGCACAATATATGAGTCTCCATAGTCAATTGCAGTCTTTGCGCATGTGGGATTCCACTACGGGTGAATATCTTGGCAAAGTTAATATTTTAATTGAACTTAGCACGATGATTTCCGGCCTCATAGACTACTAAAGAACCTAAAGTAGACCAAGTAGTAAAAAATAAATAATTTTACCATTTGTACTCATACTTCCAACATTTATAAAAAGTATGTTAATTGAATTATTAAACAAACAAAATCTTTCTTACAACTAACACAATAGAGGAAAGAGAAACTATTACTACATATCATGTAAGTAACGAGACTTTGAAAAAATATATTAATTACACACATTTTACATGTTTAATGATTTAATTACATATTTAAATTCAGTGACCTAAAATGAAGTAGAATTAAAATTTCATGAAAAGACAATTACTAAAAGGATGAATTTCATTATTTGGTTGGTGGAAAATTAATTATTGAGAATACTAATTATATTGTTTGATTAGAATTGAAATTGTAAGTAATAACGAGTATAAATACATGTATACCCTTACAAATTAATAAGAGTAATATAATTAAAAAAACAAGGGTAAAATAGTCAAACCCTATCACTTTTTCTTCTCATCTCCCATGGAAAACAAAATCCTTGATCCAACCAAGGATTTTGTTTTCCTCAAATTTGAAGAATTCATTTTCCAGTGGAAAATGAATTCCATGAACCAAACACACAAAAAAAAAAAAAAAACATTCTCCTCCACTTGAAAATATCTTCTTTTGGAAAACATTTTTCATGAACCAAATATCCCCTTAGGGTGTGTTTGGTTCCAACATAGGAATCAAAATCAGAGTGAGAATCAAATACATAGTGATTAAAATGAATTTTGGTGAAAGTATTTTGCATGTTTAATTTGATAGTTGGGTGGTATTGGAATGATTATCAATATTGATGTTTTATTATGCATAATCATATAATCAGATTACAGATTTTAAAAATATAAAAAACAAAAAACAAAAAATTATGACAATTTATCTTGGCGATGAATTGTGTGGGCAATGCAAGAAGGGACTCAATAAAGTGATGAGAGATGAGTGAGGAGGCGATTAAATAAAGAGGGATAAGGTTGAATTAACAGAATGATACCTGATTTAAATTAGATAATGACTTTTATAATTATATGATAATCAAATCATATATTTGTGTTTTAAAAAATTATCAACCACCACACTATATAAGATTCTCATCCTCATTCCTGATATTTAACCTCATCATAAACCAAACACACATTCCTACAATATTCTCTATCGCAACTCGCAAGGCATTTATTAACCTCTACTGTGTCTATCTCACCCTTATCTTTTTTGAAATCAAACAAAACAGCTTTCATTAACCAGAGGAGTTCAGCGACACAAAACCAGAAATACAAGGAGGCAAAAACTCAGAAAATTCAAACACCTCACCCTTATCTTCAACAACAAGAATTTCACCCCTTACCCTTTGATTGATATATTATACCTACGACCCGACCCGGGGTAGCAACGCGGATCCGGAACATCACGGTAGAGCCCAGGAGCAACATGGACCCGGGGCACCACATTGGAGCCCAGGAGCAACACGGACTCGGGGCACCACATTGGGTCCAGGAGAAACACGGACCCGGGGCACCACGTTGGAGCCCAAGACCAACACGAACCCGGAGCACCACGTTGGAGCCCAAACACCCGACCTACGGCACCATGGAGGTGCCCCGACCTGATCCGACCTACGTGGGGCTCGGGTCGGGGAGCTCGGGACCCGACCCGACCTGGTCCACCCGGGTCGGTCAAAGTGGTGATCCAACCACCCCCGATTTAGGGGGAGGCGGTTGGGGGATTTGGCTTGTATAAAAACCCCCCTCCTTATCCTAACAAGGGGCATTCATTTTACGTTAAATAATTATTACACACTTTGTCTTACCGAATCTCTGTAATAGCCAATTTCTACGGCAATTAATATAATATACGGTCTCACGGCATTTGTTATATCGTTCTATATTATTTATATATTATTCATATAACGTTGTTATCCGGGTTTAATAATTCGGACCACCCCGAATTAATTAAATCCATCACCCTTTGTTCTTGTCCTTCTCAACACTCAAGTCATTTTCTCGTTAGCAAAAAAACAAGACTCTTGCATTTATTTGGTCCACTACTTTTATTTTTTAATCAAGCCAGTAAACAGTATATTAATAATATATGTATTATTTATCTTCACTTTATAATCTATAAACTGAGCGCTTGCAGAAAAAAAAAAAAAACAAAAAACAAAAAAACAAAACAAAAAAAAAAACAAAAGGAGACAGGACATAAACAATTTGGTCATATTTTTTATTCTCTGAGAACCAAACAAGGGGATTTTTTTTTATTTTTTATTTTTTGAAGTAAAAAAATGGTAGGCATTTACCCTGTTTGGTCCACTACTTTTATTTTTTAATGGGAAAATAACACCCGAGTTATATACTTATAACACTTTTTCTTCATAAATTATTCAAGTAGTTATTTTTTCACATGAAATGTTAAATTGACATATTTACCCTTGAATAAATATTTCATTAATTTTTCTTCTCCAACAAATTATGACCACAATTTGGTTCAAACCCGATATTTGGAGTTATTTAAAATCACAAACCGGAACGACCAGTTCATGTTCCGAACTGGAAAAAAATACATTTATTATTGAATTTATACTATTTTAAAATAAAAAATAAAATTTTAAAATAAAGATGGTTCAAAATCGAGAACTGGATCTGGAACTTCCGATTCACGGTTCAGAATTCAGTTTTTTTGATTCATAATTTTAATAAACTGAAATCCAAATATTGGGTTCTGAATTTGAATCATACTCGAAAATTTTTAATTCGATTGCTACAGTGTCCGGTTCAGTTCGAATCGAACTGTAATCATCCCTATGTATACCCAATAATTTGTTGGAGAAGAAAAAATAAATAAAATGTTTACTTTAAGGGTAGAAATGTCAATTTAATATATCTGGAGGGAAAATTGCCACTTTTAGAATAATTGAGGAGCTAATGTGCTTACATGAATAATTCAGGAGAAAAATGTGCTATAAGTATATAACTCAGAGGAAAAAAATGTCATTTTTCCTTTTTTAAATCAAGACAATAAATAGGATATTAATAATATATGTACTATTATTATGTACACTAGTAATTCACCCGCGCGATGCACGGGAAAAATTATGTTATTATAAATATAAATAACAAATAGAAAAATTAAAATATTTTAAATTGTTTAATATAATAATATTTTTGAGCTTCCATATATCAAGTAATTATTATTTTTATAGAATACAAAATTACAATTAAAATTAAAATTTTATATGGTTAATATAATCTCTAATTATGTGCATATTCAAATAAACTTATAGAGAAAATTTACATAATTACATTGATTTATTCTATTCCATCTATATTATAATTTTCACAATACGAATAATAACTAAGATAATTACATTTGGAAATCAAATTTCAAATTTTGTATGAGTAAATTTAAACTCTAATTGAACACATTTTTTATATGATTATATAATATATAGCTATTTTATTTTTCAAAAGTACATTTTTTATATGATTATATAATATATAGCTATTTTATTTTTCAAATGTTATGCTTTTTTTTTTTTATATATATAATAAAAGATGTTGTGGCATTGATTGTAACATTAATTACTTCCCAAACCATATAGCTTTATTATAGTTAAGATTAAGATAATATATGTACTATTTATCTTCACTTTATAATCTATAAACTCAGCGCTTGCAGAAAACTAAAAATAAAAAATAAAAAATAAAAGGAGACAGGACATAAACAATTTGGTCATATTTTTTATTCTCTGAGAACCAAACCAGGGGATTTTTTTTAAAAGTAAAAAAAAAAATAGTATGTATTTACCCTGTTTGGTAACATAGTCAGCTTGTCAGTCAATTTTGACTTGTTTTCTTTGATTAAACAGTCAATATGAATGTTTAGTGGTAACAATTTATTGCTACAAAACGCTAAAATTCAAAAAGTTGTAATGAACATTATTTTTGTTATTAATTTAGTTAAACTTTTTATAATTAATAAGCAATGTTTTATTAGTTAAT